TATATTTTTTTCCTTTGGGTGCATTGAAAAACTTGTTTCGCGAAATACTTGCTTTTATAATGGAAATTTTTTTGGGGCAGGAGTAGGTTGAAGTTTTTTTAATTTTTGAGTTGGTCCACTTTTAGAATCACTGGAACATATGTACACCGACGTGTATAAGTGTTAGGACATTTATCGAATGTAGATTAAATTTAGAAAGTCACATTGCAAAGTTATTAAAATTAAAAACGAAAAAATTGTTGTAAAATTCTAAGAATTATATATTTTTACTGATATATCGTCACCTTAATGCTACGACTGTATAGATAATTTATACTTCATAACTCCATTCGCAAATTCTAAGAAAAAGACAATTATATTTTGCTCTTTATCGTTGCATTTCCTTCCCTAATTTTCATTTTTCATATAAGTGTATCAGAAGTTGCATTTTATGCTAAAAGTAGATAACTCTAGCATTATTTGGAAATGTTAGAAATGTTAAAAGTTTAAAATCAACTCCATGTTCAATGCTAAAACTTGATAACGAACTCGGTTTATAGTATTATGGTCACGATATGATACTAACTTACTCGTAAACAAAGAATAAAGAACACTTTCCTAATACTTACGAACGACAATGTATGCAAAGAGGGTTTAAAGGAAAAAGGTAGAATAATAATTTCATAAAACCTTTGTAATTTAAAAAGGCGTAGTATCAACTTCGAGACAAACGAATGGTTCTGTCTGTTACTTAAAATAACTAAGATTTGTTTGATATGTACGAAACTGAAGAAACATTTTTTTTCTCCTTGTTCGACGTCAGATTTAGTTCCATGAAATTACGATTTTTTGCTTTTTTCATGCATTTCCATTCATCTCAGAAAAGTATACCGTTCCGTAACAGTGAAACGTCTAATCAAGATTCTTTATTTAAATCTTGGACAGCGGATGGTGTGACAGTCGGGTCAAATATGACTAAAAACTAAAATCTTTCGTACACTTTTCTATTTTACTATGCACTATATAGTTTAAAATTGTACAAATATATTATGATTAAACTAACAAACATATTAATAATACAAGGAGAGTTGTAACTCGGTTTTAGCCCCTTGACGTATGATTTCTTTTCATGCCTGTGCGTCTAAGCGTCAACTAATTACGGTTTTAGTACTATATTAAGTAAGAAGAGCTAACGTACTATAGATTAAATAAACTTGGCAATCTTCAGTTTTACAAATTAAATCGAAAATTGAAATTAAAATTAATTTTCTTTACTGACGTAACTCTTTTTATCAGATCTTGACCAAAATCTGTGGTACGAGTCTGACTCGTTGCTATACGGCAGGGGCTAAATGTCAGTTGAAACAAAAGACATCTAAAAGCTGGGTCAATAGCGACCCAGAGATTAAACATTGCTAAACAATTTCGTTTCAATTGAACAAGTTTATTCTAAACAATAAATACATCCACACTTCCATTCGTTCAACCATCTGATTATTCACACTTTCGTCAATTTCGTTATTTTTCTCGCGAGTAGATCAATCGAACCGAAACGATCCGTGGACGAAATCGCGATGCGAGAGCGAGACTCGGGCGTCAGCTTTCATATTTTTTCACCGCGATGCTTGCAACCTAGAAATTCCGAGCGCATTCGTCGATAAATCAGTCGGCAATTTTCCGCTCGAAAAAATAAAGAATCTCGGCGCAAGCTAGGTCGACTCTGATTTACGATCGCCGTATAGTCGGGGCCGAGGTGTGGTCCGGAGGAGTTGCATTAGAGAATGAGAGTCTCGAAATAGTCCCCGGACGCGGAATACATGCCTAGGAATATTAGGCAATGCTCACCACCATGGCGATTTTTATCGCGTCTACGTCGCGAGCCGAGAGCTCGTATAAAGAAATGTCCCAGATTTTCGCCGGCGAACGCATTAGGTAATCGTCGGCTTCCTTTAAAACATCACTTTTCGACCTGTTGGAAACGCTTCGTTGGACTTTGGCAAGCGGCGCGCACGTGGATACCGACAGTAGGATTCTTCGATTTTTTTCTCTGTTTCTGGAACTTCTTTCTTTGTATTCTTTACATCGATCCCTCTCGGTGAAACCTTCGAGACGAAAATATTTCTGCATAATTCTAAATCGGATATTCTTTCTCTTTCTCTCGTTTTTTCTTTTTCTCTTTTTTTCTTCGTTTCGTTTTAATAAAAATGTAGAATTTATGAATCGATTGCAGAAGTATTCTTCTATTCACTGTAGATCATGTTAGATGGTATTTCTCTCTTTCTTTTTCTTTCTATTTCTTTCGACTCTTACATATGTATATATATTTATAATGTAGCAAGACAAAAGTTCGCGGCAGAGTTGCTTGAACCGACGAATTTAGAAATTGCACGTTCGCCAGGAATTTCTTATAGCGTTTGGCAAACGGAATCGATATTCTCGACAGAAACTCATGCGATCTGCCGAACTTTACTACTTCGCGCCTCTACCGCCGCTTTCTTCCATTTTCTTCGTTCTCACTGATCACGTTGCCGTTCTCCATCGAATCGTAACCATTATTCAACTACTATTCACAGAAATAAATAAACTCTCTTTCCAACATTCTACACTAAGGATCATCGAACGAACGTATCAAACACGAATCAATTTCGATCGTTCTCTCTTCGCGATTACATTTTTCCAGCTGCCATCTCTTTGCGAGCTACTTGCTAGAAAAAAAATATCCGAAGTTTCGAAGATTCTAGACTAAATATCGTCGAATCAATTTCGACCGTTTTCTCTTCGCGACTCCATTTCTTCACGAATTACGTGCTAAAAAAGAATATCTGAAACCTTGAAGATTTTACACCAAAGAGATTATCGAACACGAATCAATTTCGATCGTTCTCTCTTCACGACTAAATTTCTCCAGCCTCCATTTCTTCACTCGCTACTCGCTAAAAGAAATACCTCCAACGTGATGGAAGCTCGGTTTGGCCGTCGCGTCGTTTCGTTTCCAACATCCCTGAAACACGATCGTCGGGGGTCTTACGAAAACACTCGTCGTCTCGTCTTGTTCCCCGTTTCCTCGTTAGAAAAGATCTCTACACTGAACGGAATAGTACCTTCTGAAACGTTCACAAAGAAAATCGGCATCGCCAGGACTATCGTACTATCGGAAGCGCGAGAGTTGCACGTAAAACGCGGCTCGCCAGAAAGCGGCGTCGGTATTTGGCAAACGATGACAACGTCGTGGACACCACCTCCGGTTAGTCTGCGGTCCCAGGTACCCTAGACCACAGTTTCTACCTCTTCCTCCTCACACTCTCTTCCATCCTCGTCTTCCATCTTCTTTCAATCGTTCTGCTTTTCGTTTTCTTCGTTTC